GCTGATGAATTCCATCTAGTTGTATTTCTTTCTTTGGTTGTATCTTTCTTTCTTATTCTTTCTTTCTTTCTTTTTTCTTTTTCTTTTTTCTTTCTTTTTTCTTCGTTTTTCTTTCTTTTTTCTTTCTTTCTTCCTTTCTTTGTTTGTATCTTTCTTTCTTTTTTCTTTTTCTTTTTTCTTTTTTTTTTTTCTTTTTTTCTTTTTTTTCTTTCTTTCTTCCTTTCTTTGTTTGTATCTTTCTTTCTTTTTCTTTCTTTCTTTTTCTTTCATTGTATCTTTCTTTCTTTTTCTTTTTTTTTTTTTTTTTTTTTTTTCTTTTTTTCTTTCTTTTTTCTTTCTTTCTTCCTTTCTTTGTTTGTATCTTTCTTTCTTTTTTCTTTCTTTCTTTTTTCTTTCTTTGTATCTTTCTTTCTTTTTTCTTTTTCTTTTTTCTTTCTTTTTTCTTCGTTTTTCTTTCTTTTTTCTTTCTTTCTTCCTTTCTTTGTTTGTATCTTTCTTTCTTTTTTCTTTCTTTCTTTTTTCTTTCTATGTATCTTTCTTTCTTTTTTCTTTTTCTTTTTTCTTTCTTTTTTTCTTCGTTTTTTTTCTTTTTCTTTCTTTCTTCCTTTCTTTGTTTGTATCTTTCTTTTTTTTTTTTTTCTTTCTTTTTTTCTTTTCTTTTTTTTTTTCTTTTTTTTTCTTCGTTTTTCTTTCTTTCTTTTTTCTTTCTTTCTTCCTTTCTTTGTTTGTATCTTTCTTTCTTTTTTCTTTCTTTCTTTTTTCTTTGCTTGTATCTTTCTTTCTTTTTTCTTTTTCTTTTTTCTTTCTTTGTTTGTATCTTTCTTTCTTTATTCTTTTTCTTTTTTCTTTCTTTTTTCTTCGTTTTTCTTTCTTTTTTCTTCCTTTCTTCCTTTCTTTGTTTGTATCTTTCTTTCTTTTTTCTTTCTTTCTTTTTTCTTTCTTTCTTTTTTCTTTGTTTGTATCTTTCTTTCTTTTTTCTTTTTCTTTTTTCTTTCTTTTTTCTTCGTTTTTCTTTCTTTCTTTTTTCTTTCTTTCTTTTTTCTTTGTTTGTATCTTTCTTTCTTTTTTCTTTTTCTGTTTTCTTTCTTTTTTCTTCGTTTTTCTTTCTTTTTTCTTTCTTTCTTCCTTTCTTTGTTTGTATCTGTTGTGTATGATACACCTAATTTACATAAGCGGACTACCGACCATATAAATATGGGTTGGTACCGGAAGACGGGGAAGATAGTAGAGATTAAGAAATTGAATCCAGAGACTCTGCCCGACTGCGATTTAGTCAACCCATTATGCAGGAACAGTCTTCCCAAGAATATACCAAACTAACTGTAAATATTGTGTACCTATTCTTTGTTTCAATACATTTTGTTAACGTACATTTTGTGTTGTATTATTCCATGCTTATTTAAGCTTCAACAGTATCTTTCTTTCTTTTTTCTTTCTTTCTTTTTTCTTTCTATGTATCTTTCTTTCTTTTTTCTTTTTCTTTTTTCTTTCTTTTTTCTTCGTTTTTCTTTCTTTTTTCTTTCTTTCTTCCTTGCTTTGTTTGTATCTTTCTTTCTTTTTTCTTTCTTTCTTTTTTTTCTTTCTTTGTATCTTTTTTTTTTTCTTTTTTTTTTTTTCTTTTTCTTTTTTTTTTTTTTTTCTTTCTTTCTTCCTTTCTTTGTTTGTTTCTTTCTTTTTTTTTTTTCTTTTTCATTCTTTTTTTTCGTTTTTTTTCTTTTTTTTTTTTCTTTCTTCCTTTCTTTGTTTGTATCTTTCTTTCTTTTTCTTTCTTTTTTTTTTTTCTTTTTTTTTTTTTGTTTGTATCTTTCTTTCTTTTTTTTTTTTCTTTTTTCTTTCTTTTTTTCGTTTTTCTTTCTTTCTTTTTTCTTTCTTTCTTTTTTCTTTGTTTGTATCTTTCTTTCTTTTTTCTTTTTCTTTTTTCTTTTTCTTTTTTCTTTCTTTTTTCTTCGTTTTTCTTTCTTTTTTCTTTCTTTCTTCCTTTCTTTGTTTGTATCTTTCTTTCTTTTTTCTTTCTTTCTTTTTTCTTTCTTTCTTTTTTCTTTCTTTGTATCTTTCTTTTTTTTTCTTTTCTTTTTTCTTTCTTTTTTTTTCGTTTTTTTTCTTTTTTCTTTCTTTCTTCCTTTATTTGTTTATCTTTCTTTTTTTTTTTTTTTTTTTTTTCTTTTTTTCTTCGTTTTTCTTTCTTTTTTCTTTCTTTCTTCCTTTCTTTGTTTGTATCTTTCTTTCTTTTTTCTTTCTTTCTTTTTTCTTTCTTTCTTTTTTCTTTGTTTGTATCTTTCTTTCTTTTTTCTTTTTCTTATTTCTTTCTTTTTTCTTCGTTTTTTAGCTCGTTCTTTTTTTTCTTTCTTTTTTTTCTTTGTTTGTATCTTTCTTTCTTTTTCTTTTCTTTTTTTTTCTTTTTTTCTTCGTTTTTCTTTCTTTTTCTTTCTTTCTTCCTTTCTTTGTATCTTTCTTTCTTTTTCTTTCTTTCTTTTTTCTTTGTTTGTATCTTTTTTCTTTTTTTTTCTTTCTTTCTTTTTTCTTTCTTTTTTCTTCGTTTTCTTTCTTTCTTTTTTCTTTCTTTCTTCCTTTCTTTGTTTGTATCTTTCTTTCTTTTTTCTTTGTTTGTATCTTTCTTTCTTTTTTCTTTTTTTTTTTCTTTCTTTTTTTCGTTTTTTTCTTTCTTTCTTTTTCTTTCTTTCTTCCTTTTTTTTTTTGTATCTTTCTTTCTTTTTTCTTTCTTTCTTTTTTTTTTGCTTGTATCTTTCTTTTTTTTTTTCTTTCTTTTTTTGTTTCTTTTTTTCTTCGTTTTTCTTTCTTTTTTTTTTCTTTCTTTCTTCCTTTCTTTGGTTTATCTTTCTTTCTTTTTTTTTTTTTCTTTCTTTTTTCTTTGCTTTATCTTTCTTTTTTCTTTTTTTTTTTTTCTTTTTTTCTTCGTTTTCTTTCTTTTTCTTTCTTTCTTCCTTTCTTTGTTTTGTATCTTTCTTTCTTTTTTCTTTCTTTCTTCCTTTCTTTGTTTGTATCTTTCTTTCTTTTTTTCTTTGTTTGTATCTTTCTTTCTTTTTTTTTTTTTTTTCTTTTTCTTTTTCTTCGTTTTCTTTCTTTTTCTTTCTTTCTTCCTTTCTTTGTTTGTATCTTTCTTTCTTTTTTTCTTTCTTTCTTTTTCTTTGTTTTTGCTATCTTTCTTTCTTTTCTTTTTCTTTTTTCTTTCTTTTTCTTTTTTTTTTCTTTTTCTTTCTTTCTTCCTTTCTTTGTTTTGTATCTTTCTTTCTTTTTTTCTTTTCTTTTTTCTTTCTTTTTTCTTCGTTTTTCTTTCTTTTTTCTTTCTTTCTTCCTTTCTTTGTTTGTATCTTTCTTTCTTTTTTCTTTCTTTCTTTTTTCTTTGTTTGTATCTTTCTTTCTTTTTTCTTTTTCTTTTTTCTTTCTTTTTTCTTCGTTTTTCTTTCATTTTCTTTCTTTCTTCCTTTGTTTGTTTGTATCTTTCTTTCTTTTTTCTTTCTTTCTTCCTTTCTTTGTTTGTATCTTCCTTTCTTTTTTCTTTGTTTGTATCTTTCTTTCTTTTTTCTTTTTCTGTTTTCTTTCTTTTTTTTTTCGTTTTTCTTTCTTTCTTTCTTTCTTTTTTCTTTCTTTCTTCCTTTCTTTGTTTGTATCTTTCTTTCTTTTTCTTTTTTCTTTTTTTTTTTTTCTTTCTTTTTTCTTCCTTTTTCCTTCTTTCTTTTTTCTTTGTTTGTATCTTTCTTTTTTCTTTTTCTTTTTTCTTTTTTTTTCTTCCTTTTTCTTTCTTTCTTTCTTTTTTCTTTTTTTCTTTCTTTCTTCCTTTCTTTGTATCTTTCTTTCTTTTTCTTTTTTCTTTCTTTTTTCTTTTTTTCTTCCTTTTTCTTTCTTTCTTTTTTCTTTCTTTCTTTCTTTTTCTTTCTTTTTTTCTTTCTTTTTCTTTGTTTGTATCTTTCTTTTTTTTTCTTTCTTTCTTCCTTTCTTTGTTTGTTTCTTTCCTTTCTTTCTTTTTTCTTTTTTTGTTTGTTTGTATCTTTCTTTTTTCTTTTTCTTTTTTCTTTCTTTTTTCTTTCTTTTTTCTTCCTTTTTCTTTCTTTCTTTTTTCTTTCTTTCTTTTTCTTTCTTTTTTCTTTCTTTCTTTTTCTTTGTTTGTATCTTTTTTCTTTTTTCTTTCTTTCTTCCTTTCTTTGTTTGTATCTTTATTTCTTTTTTCTTTTTTTTTCTTTCTTTCTTTCTTTCTTTCTTTCTTTCTTTATTACTTTTTCTTTTTCTTTGTTTGTTTGTCTCTTTTTTCTTTCTCCCTTTTTTCTTTCTCTCTTTTTTCTTTCTCTCTTCCTTTTTTCTTCCTTTCTTTCCTAATTTTTTTCTTTGTATATATGTATGTATGTATATATGTATGAATGCATGTATCTCCTGATACTGATGTCCTAGACAGAGTCAATCGCCAAAGCATAGAGACTCTTGTAACATCTTCCCAAGTGCGAGGGACAGGACCCAATTCGTATGAAGGATAACAGACTCACAAAAGAATTCTTTTATGGTGTGCTGCGTATCGGAAAGCGCCTCAGCACAAACCATAGAAAAGATACAAGGACTGTATCAAGAACAACATAAAAGAGCTGTCATTTGACTTCAACAATTGGGAAAATATGGTCCTAGGTAGAACTGGATGGAGAGATCAAATAAGAGACGGGTGCCAAATCTTCGAATAATATCGTCTGGAACACAAACGGCTGAAGCGGCAACTTCGAATGGTTGATACCCACTGACTCAACAAGGGTGTCGAGTGTTGGACATGGGATTTCTGACAGCGCCGACATCTTTCAAAGGCTAGCTGGGTAAATTATGTAAAGTCACATAAAGAAAGAATCACCAGTCAGTGTCACAGCCTGCACGTGTGACAAGGTATGCACAAACAGCTTCGGACTGAAAAGGCACATGGTGGTGCACAGAAATAAGGCACCGCGGTGTGAATCCATCAAAATAGTGGCGAGCACATTGTTCGCCTGTCACTTGCGTAACAAGTCATGCAAGTCCGCAGCCGGCCTGGGAAGTCTCCTACGGGGGTCTTGCACGAGAGAGGTGCGAGGTGGGGAATCGGGCAAGGTGGGATACGAGTAGCAAGCCACTGCATATACTATCTATCTATCTATCTATCTATCTATCTATCTATCTATCTATCTATGTCTACTCGTATCTCACATTGTATCTGGTATATATGCATATATGTATGCATTTGGCTAACTCGATTAGTCTGTTCATCATGTTCATTTTCTATCTATCTATCTATCGCAATGTGTTAACCTCTCATCTCTCTTACGATATATATATATATATATATATATATATATATATATATATATATATATATATATATATATATATGTCAGTCTATTAATATCTATCTATCTATCTATAGCAATGTGTTAACCTCTCATCTCTCTTATATATATATATATATATATATATATATATATATATATATATATTTTCTTAGCAAATCGTGAAATGAAAGTTATCTTCTTTGGGTTAATGCATGTGGTCCCCAAGGCCTCTATCCTTGGTCCAATTTTATTTTTAATTTTCATTAACGACCTACCCGAGGCATCAGCTCTTCTCTTGGTATCTATGCTGATGACCCAGACATTTACCCCTATCTTGATACTAAAGCTAATCAGTTCAATAAGGTCAAATTGGAGGTTGACGTCAAAAACGACATTCAGTTTGTTGTTAACTGGGGCAAAGGATGGCTTGTTAATTTCAACGCCTCAAAAACTAAGCTGCTCTCTATTAATCGTATGAGAGAGCCCATTTTACCTTCCACCAGGAGAATTACACTTTGCGCATTTCCAGTCGAACGTCCTCGGCTGACATGATGTGGAAAGACTATATTAAATCCATTGTTAAATCAGCTGCTCAAAAAGTTGGTTCACCCTGTTGGGCTAGACAATTTTCCTCTCCAGAGTCTATCGTGCATATATACAATCCTACCATTTTTCTATGCTTAGAATATGTCTGGTGCCCCGTTGCATATCTAGAGTTCTGTTGGGGTGCACCCTCCTTCTCATCAGAATGGACTGATCTCTCTACTACTAATAGGACAGTTCTATAGAGTTCTGGGAGATCAGGTGACAATCACACTTCCGTCTCTCTACCGGAAGATACAGTTGGACGTTATACTCTTTCTGATTTTTACTGACCAACCTGCGTTCGTTTAACTACTAATCTCTCTGTTGTAAATACCTATTTCAGATATACCAGTTTTTTTCCCTACGTATGTGTTTGTCCTTATTTCAATACACGCACGGGGAAACACTCAACATCTCAAGTTCCTTGATACAATCCAAAGAATAATCTTACTTATTATAAAACGCAGGTTCTGTGTGTGTGTGTGTGTGTGTGTGTGTGTGTGTGTGTGTGTGTGTGTGTGTAACATTTATATGTTGGATCGAATTTCCTACATTTTTTAGCCGATTTCAACAAAACTTCACAGGACTACATAAAATTACCTTGTGGTGGTTCTAACGGGGCCGAAACGGGAAAAAGACAGTTGTTTTTTAATAAAATCAATTTGAAAACGCGATTAAGACACATCGTGAGAATGGAAGGGGGACAACTCACCCACGAAAATGTAAACAAATGAGCATAGCATGATGAAAAAGACGCCGAACTTGACGAAAACAAAATTTTATCGTCTAATGTTCATATTATTATTAAAGAGGAAAGATCAAAGTATTTTAGGGTTTTTTTTTTACATTTTTTAATCGTTCCTAGCACGTCTGAAATTTTCGTTTAAAATTTTTGGTCAAAAAATAGGACAGATAATCATTTTCAATCATTTTTTTCGATTTGATAAAAAAGATTAAAATCTTACTTTGATATTCTTTTAAAAATCTATTATCATTTTTTCAAAACTGATTTTAATAAAACAGAAATTATACTGTTTATTTAAAATATTTTGACCAAGCTTAACTTAGCTTCTGCGCCGAAAAATGTAATTTGAAAATAAAACAAAGCAGGTCATAACCTTTCGCGTCGCTTGACGATTGACGAAAAGGCACATTCATGACGTTTAGATAACTTACGGGAGAAGAATTCTTTCTACGGATGGAAGGAAGTGAAATTATTTAAGTGAACAAATTATTTACCTTGTTACTTTTAAGGAAAACTTTCAGCGCTCTAATTTTTAATTTTTTTAAACATTTTTTTTGTACTTAGCTTTCATTTTTATGTTTACGATGCTTTATGGAAAATATAAAGAAATTAAAAAATAAGACTGTTAATAGTGAGATTAAATTTCATAAGAAAAAGGTGTTGCAGACCCGGTAGGGTGCAGTGCTGGTTTATTACAAAGTGGCCTTGTGCCAGACACCACACTTAACTACCGAGTCCACAAGCAATGTATAAAAAAAAATAAAAATGCGTGAATGAACAGTGAGAGAAAAGGGGTCAATCAACAAGTGCATAAATTAATAAACATCAAAGAGATAGCCGGAATAAAATGACAAAGACGTCTGTTTGTAAAACATGTGTAACTTTTATTAGATGGAAACAAGTAGATTATCTCGTGGTACGAGATCAAGGAAAAGTTCCGCGCCTAAATAGAAATGCAAGATGAACAAGGCGGGAAAAGGGTTTTATAAGGTTCTGGAAAAAAGGAACTCGTTAAACACGAGGTGTATGTGCGCACAGATAGAAAGGGGTACTCACTGTGGATTTTTTTGGCGTTGAGTGTATGTGATTTTGTGTTTTTTTCTTTTTATGTTTCAGGTTCAAAGTAGGGTCTCAGAGTTCGGTCAGGTCTTGAATTAATTGTTGAAAATTTTAACGGAATGCTGTGGACGTCTAGCCAAAAGGACGAAGAGTTATTTGCGGTTGGTTGCATCGTCTATGAGAAGTTAATTATGGCGAGTCCAGAAAGGACGAAGAATGTCTGTTCGTCAGTAAGATATCCCAGTCTGTATTTAAGATTGACTGACGTAGTGACAAGGTATAAAATATATATAAGCCACTTGTTGAATACGAAGTTTTGCTCACGACTGTGTCGTGTGTCTCGAACGTCTTCTGGTCGAAGACGGAGAAGGTCTGACCTGCGGGCAGCTTCAAGACGAGAAGAAGTCTTGGTAAAGTGTGAGGTCGACATTGTTGAGATAAGATATTCCCGCCCGCATATGGGTTAAGGGCACGGAATAAATGAATTGCCCGTCTACTCAGGTTGAGGACCGACTGGTTTGCAAACGCTGGCCGTTTGAGACGCCGCGAAACGCGCGGGAAAAGATTCAAAATCTAATTTGCATAAACATCAGGAGCAGCTGGTCGTTTGCAGTCAGCAACAGAAAATGGCTTACTGCTATGTCTGACTGAAAGAGAAAGGAAGCGGGGAAAACGCGTGCACACACGCGTGAGTGTGAAAACAAGGGAGGAGAAACTCGCGCGCGTGTAAAATAAGATGGAATTAATGTGTTAATTCCATAAAGGTATCTAATTAATTTAGGTACCCTTCTTATGAAATTTCATCAGAAGTGTACATAAAATACTATAATTTTATGTACATTTATTACATTTTACTGTGTTATTTGTATTTACATTCATTTTATTAATTTTAATAGTTCATTTATGGAAAAATGTCATAACTGAGATTAATATAAAAATAAGATCATATAAATTAAAGTTTAGCAGTAGTTAAATTTCATAAGATGATACTGTTAGTTACATGTAGGTACTCTTCTCAGTTAAAATTGAAAACTCAAATTAACTTCTCCATACGTGTTTCGCAAAAGTAAAGGGCTTAACAGCGGAGAACAATGCTGAACTCAAATAATGCAACTAAATTGTATTCTGGTTGGTCTTCCGTACATGATAATTACTGTCCGACTATAAACACAAAAATTACATTTCTTAATTACCATGGCTAATCTGATTGGTCCAAATTATACAATTTTCAAAGCGCTAGAGAATGACAATCTCACACGGACATTTTGAAAGGTTGATATTGCTTTTAACTAATGTTAAAATATTTTTTAAAATTCAATTTAAACATTTTTTAAAAAACCTTTTTAAAATTAAAGAAATAAGAAATAATTGTATTAAAAATTCAATTTTCATTGAAAAAATTTTTTGCTTTCACAAAATATTGTCCATATTCATAAAAAAAAATTAAAACAAATAAAAGCATTTGAAACTAAATAATATATTTGTTTTATTGAGTTTTGTATGTTACAATTCACAGCTGATTTTCAGGTACATTGGCAAAAAAAAACAAAAAAAAACAAAACATAATTTGCATTCTTCAAAGCCTTGTGCTATTGTAATCACTAAAACCGATGGTTTCGAATTTCTAGAGTTTTTCATAAAATTAGTTATGGGGGTGTTAATAAATATAAAAAAAATATTTCTGCCTTGATTTTAATTAAAAAAAAACATATTTATAATAATTTCGATCATCTGTGAATAGTTTCTGAAAGTTTCATTAACATCTGACAATTATTTTTATTTTTGCAAGATTTTTCAAATTAATGCGTGTAAATACAAAAAAACGCGCTAAACATTATCTATGTTATTTACTACCTCTTGTTGCGACAATGAGAAACAAGGTGTTTTAAATCAAAATTTAAAATATTCTAAAATGATGGAAAAATTTTTTTAAAATAATTAGAAAAAAATTTAGTCTATCCTCTTCATAAAACCATAAGCATTTTGACGATAAAATTTTGTTTTCATAAACTTTGGCGTCTTTTTCATCAGACTATGCTCTATTGTTTTAGCGATTCCGTGGAGTGACTTAGGTTAAAAAACCCAGGTTGTTTATGTGTGTGTGTGTGTGTTCCTTTATATATGGGATTGGATTTCTTAGATTTTTCAACCGATAAAACAAACATCCACTTTTTTTTTCGGCAGGTAGTATTTCTTATTGTCTTGCACACTTTTTTCTTTATTTACATTCAGAATGCTTTAAAAATTCCATTTACAAGACAATTGTTTATAATAAAATTCTATTCACCAATCGATAGACTCATAACGATTGTAAACAATGTTTTTGTTTGAATTTGGGTTTGACCAATTCGTAAAAAAAAAAAAAAAAAAAAAAATTAAGACATGCGTGTCCGTCAACCTTAAACAATAATCTTTGTCAATTTTATTTTTCAGTCTTTATGATGATCGATACTTGATCTATCTCTTACTGTTACATTCCCGGGCAACGCCGGGCTCTACTGCTAGTCATACAAAAAATCCAAAATATATGTTTCTTTTTTTTTTTTTATTTAAGCCATGTTGAACTTTGTCAGAACCTGGATGGCTGACTACTAAGGAATAACAAGTTCTGTAAGGTTGGATGTACGGATGATATAGTGGTTAATGGCTTGGAATAGTTAATCGGAGAGCCGAGGTCGAATTCAGTCAATTCGTTATATTCACTAAAAAAGCAAATAAGATATAAATCCATCACATACCTCCAATTCTAGTTTTTCATAGTAAAACATGTATTAAGAAAATAATTGTTATCTCAAAAAAACACAATTACAAATTTACTCTCAAAATATAAGTAATTATTCTTAAAATCCAAAATATGTTTCTTGTTGTATCCAGAAAAAAAATAAAAACCTTGTTATGGGGTCCTCCCCTTTTCTATATAAGTGGACTCTACCAAGTGTACCTGGACTGCTGGCGTTAAATACCCAGTGTTGCAGTCAGTGAGGGTAGTCGGATAGAGAGAGGATATACGGAGAGAGAGAGAGAATATACGAACGGAGATAGTGTGAGGTAACCTCGTGTAGAAGTCAGTTACAAGCACGTAGACTCTAAGGAAGTCCTACTTCGTGACTGTATATATCTATCTGTATTTGCTACTAACCTCGTTCCTGGACTTACTAACAGTATTACTCTTTGTATGATTGTGTAAATACATTTTATTTCTTATATTTAATTATTGCGTTTGTCATTCCTTGGAGACCAAATTCACGTCGGAATCCACAACAAACCTTATCTCGAAAATTACACGCAAATAATACAGAATTATTCTTTAAATCCACAATTTATTTTATTAAATAATGTTGAACTTGTTGTATCAAGGGAAAACATTGTTATATCAAAAATGAATATATATATATATATATATATGTGTGTGTGTGTGTGTGTGTGTGTGTGTGTATAAACAGTACTGAATGTAAATTTATAGAGCATAAATATTATAAATTAACCGATTTAAAATATGTTTCTTCGCTACACAGCAATTACCATGTTTCAATAACCGAAGTTGAAAACTTCAAATTTAATTATATAATTAAATTAAATGCATTAATTCTGATTCATCTTCAAGCGAATTTTAAGAAATTAAACAGAACTAATGCTTTTAATTTAATTATATAATTAAAATTGAGTTTTAGCTTCGGTTTTTAGAAATATGGTAATCCCTATGTGAAAGAAAAACCTATACTATATATATATATATATATATATATATATATATATATATATATATATATATGTGACACTATTTAGCGGTTGCGTGAAAATTAAAAGCGAGAAATACTTAAGGCGAGAAGACATACTGAGCGATATTTTTTTTAACAAGAAAAGTGGTAAAGATTTTATTTTCATTTGCGAAAAAGTATTTTTTTTTCGCAGAAGATAGGAAATTCGTAAGATCTCGGATCTGTCGGAATTAATTCATGCTATGAGGCGGCTCTACTGCTAGTAAGTAATATTATTTGTCCTGATCTGACGCCTCGGCTTCATTCACTTTCTCACCGCCGTAAAGTTGCCTCACTGTAACTTTTCTATAAATACTTCCATGGCAATTGTTCAGATAATCTCTTCACCAGGCAATCTAGACGTTTTATTATTTAAGCGCAATCCTAGACAGGTGACGACGTCTCAAGAATTTACAGTTGAGTTGGCTACATGTAAACGTAGACTACTGTTTCTCCTGTTGAACTTATCGCTTATGGATCTCTCTTTCGGCTTCACGCTTTCCAGCTAATTTAAATCTTCAACAATGTAAATACAATGTCAATCACTTTCTAATCTGCCCCTCTTTACTCTTCTATTGTTCTCGCTCTTTAATAATCTTTTTATTTTCTAATCCTTCCACACCGACGATACTCTTGTGTCTTAGTGGCTTTACTGCTCAATATATATATATATATATATATATATATATATATATATATATATATATATATATATCCTTTTCATCATAAGTTATTTTCATCGCCTGACGAGAGACAAATTTTAAGTTCCGAAACACGGAAATTTTTGTCTAGCGCTTTAAAATATTATAACAAATATATAATAATAATAATAATAATAATAATAATAATAATCAATATACACACATTATGAAATGGACAAAGTCCGACAACTATTTTAAGACATTTTATGTTTATACATTCTTTTTATAGATACAAATACTTAAATATTTGTATCTATAAAAAAGAATGTATAAACATAGAAATATCTATATATATATATATATATATATATATATATATATATATATATATAGTCATGTATTCTGCTCGCTAGGTAGCTCATTATTTATATCTATTTATCCATGTCAGTACGTCCATATGTGTCTATCTATCAATCTATCTATCTTTTTATTACATATACATGTGTGTGTGTGTTAGTCTATTAATATTTAGATATCTGTTCAGATCGCTAGCTATCTAACTCTGTTCATATAAATCTCTATATGTCAGTGCGTTAATATCTATCTATCTATCTATCTATCTATCTATATATATATATATATATATATATATGTATATATGTATATATATACACATATATATATACATATATGTATGTATGTATCACAGTTTTTCTTATCTATCTATCACAATTTTTGTGATTTGTGCATATCTGTCTATCACAGTTTGTTTATATCTATCAGTCTATCCATTTATCTATATATCTATCTAGAGTTTGTTTATATCTATCACATTTTGTACATATCTATCTATCTATCTATCTATCTCTCTATCTATCTATCTATCTATCTATCTCAGACTGTTCATATCTATCTATCTATCTATCTATCTATCTATCTTTCACATTTTGTTCATTTCTGTCTATCACAGTTCATATTTATCTCTATAACTATCACAGTTTGTTCATATCTATCTATCTATCTATCTATCTATCTATCTCGTTGTATGAATACCTACGTATATAACTCAGTACATTTATATCTATCTCCTTACTTGTGCTTAGCTCTTTCCCTATCATCTAATCTAAGCCAGAATCGTAATTACTTCATCCCGTCGCCCAAACAGCCGGCTTCTTTGATTTGGTCAGACGCAAATATTATTGACGCCTTTCGTTTGTTTCCGCTTCGCCACGGGAAAGAATGGCAGGTGCGTTGACGATTTCAACCGACTGGAGAACTGTTCCGCGATCGGTCTTAACGTTTTCTTTAATCTCTGCATGTTTTGCTAGGGGGGGGGGCATGTTCGTATTTCTCTGTCGAGTTCTACAAATGAACGTCATTGAATAAAGAAAAAAAGAAAATACCAAAACACACACACACACACATATATATATATATATATATATATATATATATATATATATATATAAAAGACACAAATAAAGAGAAAGAACAGACAGATTATGAATCCACAGTTCTTAGCATTTACTCCCAAATAAGCTCATGATTATTTGTTTTCTGATTTCCCAAGTAAATCATTTTCATCATAAGTTATCTAACATCGCCTGACGAGAGACAAATTTTAAGTTCCGAAACACGGAAATTTTTGTGTAGCGCCGTAAAATATTATAATAAATATATAATAATAATAATAATATATATATATATATATATATATATATATATATATATATATATATATATATATATCCAGTATCTTAACGAACCCACACGGTTCTTGTTCTATTTCCGGTCGAATTTTGAAGCGTGCTATATTCATCAGCATTGAGATAATAAGTTTAGTTCCATGTCTCTTTAGGGCAGTTGACACTGGCTTCCTAGGCACTGCTATGAATAATATATATACAGTCACTCTGTAGATACAAATTTACTTATTAGAGTGGCAAAGAAACAGGAAAATTTGAAGAGATATGACCGCCAATGTCCTGAAGGGACGAGACATATAAGATAGCTTACACATTTATCATATAGACACTATCTTACGCATTTATAACATATATCTTATACATTTATGACATATAAGATATCTTATACATTTATGACATATACAATATCTTATGCATTTATGACATATATTTTCTACATTGATGACATATATCTTCTACTTTTATGACATATACAATATCTTATGCATTTATGACGTATATCTTATACATTTATCACATATAAGATATACATTTATGACATATACAATATCTTATGCATTTATGACATATATCATATATATTTATCACATATAAGATATCTTATACATTTATGACATATATCTTATACATTTATGACATAAGATATACATTTTTGACATGTAAAATATTTTATGCATTTATGACGTATATCTTATACATTAATGACATATATGATATCTTATCCATTTATGACGTACAATATCTTATGCATCTATGGCATATATCTTATACATTTATGACATATCAGATATCTTATACATTTATGTCATACATTATCTTATACATTTATGATATATATCTTATACATTTATGACATATCAGATATATATTTATGACATATACAATATTTTATACATTTATGATATATATCTTATACTTTTATGGCATATAGGTTATCTTATACATTTATGACATATAAGATATATGCATTTATAAAGTGAAAAGAGGATAATGAATCAGTTGCTACGTCTGCTGGTAGAAAGGTTGTTTTACTGTGTCTCGTGAGACAATTTTTCGCACAAGAATCAGTTTTCCATATTTATAAGTCTACCATTTCTCCACGGATTGAATATTGTTGTTACATCTTGGCTGGTGCTTCTTCTACGTTTTTAGAGATCCTTGATAAAAGAAGACTCTGAAAATGTTATTGGTCTCGGTTACAATCACTTTCCCCAGCGCTGAAACATAGCTTCCTCGTGAATTTTCTATAAATAATTTCATGGTCATTGTTCTGATGACCATTCTGCTTTGGTACCTAGACTCTGAGTTTAAGAGTACTATTAGATTGGCGGCAAGGTCTAACCATCTCGCAAGTGAACTGGTTAGATGTAACCGTGGGTTCTATGTTGATAGTTTCTACTAGCGCACGCCTCGCTAGTAGGTGTCTCTTCCTGTCAAATTTGATCTTCAAAAATTAAAATTTCGTTATCTTATGTCAAGAATACATGGCACAGTGGATAAAGGCGTTAGTTAGATCCAGTGACAGGACCCAAAGAGTGTGAGTTCAATACTCGGCTAAGGCAGTGGAGAACTTGGAGAGAAGTATTAACAGGAGATAGCTGATATCTGACATCCATTAAACACGGCACGTGGAACTAGAAGAGTTTACACCAGTGAGCGAAGTAAAGGGTTTAGTTCGACATTCCAACCACCTGAAGAAGGCCGGAGCGTACAACCGGCGAAACGTTGTAATAAATATGGCGACAAAGATGAGGAAAATAGTCCGAATTATGTAAATAGTGTTAATTTTTGTTCTTTCATTTTTTTTCCTCTCTCCTTAATAATGAGATTCTTTTTCTTATATTCCCTGACGCTCAATAACCCCTTGCGTCTTAGTGGCTTTATTGCCTCTCATGGGGTGATATACTTTAAAAATATATGAATTGACTTGTTTTAAACGATAGATGTTGGAGTGGTTTCATGCGTGTGCTTCTATCCAGGTATTTGAGGGTGAATGGAGTCTCTCTGAGCCTTGGTTGGCAATCCATTCAGTGATGGTGTCACGATAAAAACACCTTTGATAGCCCAAGCGAAGCATCAAGAATCCAGCTATTGACAAGATTATGAACTACACCAATTACGTGCCACAGATGAACTTGTGTCATCATTTGTACTCTGGAGTCACCCATCATCTGTCAATCGATCACGAAAGTTAACCTTTCCAGATCGGATAAAACGTGACACATTGATCCCTAAGGAAGATCTTTTAGGTGCTATGACAGATAGGGAATACTGGAGAGGTGTAGTGAGTTCAATCTCGGCTGAGGCCGCAAGATGATGATGATGATGATCCAGGAACGTCCCAGGCCTTCTTATAACTGTGTCGAATTTGTTAGGTATTTAAAAAAAAAAAAAAAAAGTCCTGTACATTCCTGCTAGAACATGTACCAGTTGACCTCGTACTTTGTGTGAACTCCAACAGGACATGCAGGGCAGAATTTTAGCGTCACCGCTAATTTGCACAACATTCTGCTGGCGGTATACGTATATCCATAACCGTCAAATGATACTTTCCAATCACGAAATCGAACACCTGCTGAATCTAGTGTGTAACGATACTAGAATCCTTGTGTGGGTGTACATATCCAGTTACGTTCCAGGGTGGTTATGACTGTGTATATTTTTTTGGGTGTGGCTGCACAGAAATTAGTGAGGTCTGCAACATGTGGCTTATATGCACAATGAGGTTCACATTTAGTAACTGTTTGGATCAATAGCACCCCTCAATATCAAGCTGCTTGTTTTTGGATGTAGTAGATAGATGGAACACACAGACACATTCTCTCTCTCTCTCACAGACACACATATATATACTGAGCATTTTGTTAAAGTAAATGCTACAATCAGTAGATTTTAAGATCTGTTCTTTCTCGCATTTGTGTGTATGTGTATATATATATATATATATATATATATATATATATATATATATATATATATTATATATTTATTAAAGACATTTTTATGTTTAACGTTCTTTTTATAGATAAAAGTATTTAAGTAAATGCTCTGTATATAATAAACAGTATTAAATAACATTTAAATGAATGTCTGAGAAATTTTCATAGAAAATATTCGTCCTTTGACAGGATTCGAACCTGCATCCTATTCGGAACCGTCATTTACGCTGACGTGCCTTGACCGCTCGGCCACAAAGGATCGTTCTGTTGAATTTACTGGTTATAAAATTCAATCTTCCATGAATCTCGTACATTCATAACTGCTCATGGCGTATCAAATGTAAACAAATGACATCATATATGTATATGTTTATTATAAACTGAGCATTTACTTAAATATTTGTATCTATAAAAAATAACGTTAAACATAAAAAATGTCTTTAATAAATAAAATTGTCGGACTTTGACCATTTCTTAATATATATATATATATATATATATATATATATATATATATATATATATATATATATATCAAATGTAAAAGAACGAAGAGTAAGGTTTCAAAACATTAATTTAATACAAGGCTCAATACAAAAGTAGAGCAATAAATATTTATTTATTATACAGTGTTACATTAGAACATGTACATACCCACTACAAAACTACATCTTATTTCAACATTAATTTTTTTTTAACGTTTTGGCAGGTGGTGAATCACGATATTACTCCTGCACGGAGGGTATTTGCATGTTCTAATGTAACACTGCATTATATATATATATATATATATATATATATATATATATATATATATATATATATATATTGTGTATATTTAGGCAGCAATTTTTTCATTAACGCATGTCTCATTAAATGATATAGACAAGTTTTGTCCATTTATTTTGAGTAAGTTCCTTTCATATTTTCTGATAAAGCTTAATAACATTATCATTGAAAGACGAAAGGAAATCACCATATTGATACATGTTTAAATCCGATCTAAGCTTTTGGCTTACATAAGCCATTATCAAAGATGACAATTATTTTTCAATATATCAACCAATACACGACCGAAACAATAATGATAGTCTGTTTTTGTTGCATGAAAAATTTCAAAGCAACAGCTAACTCGCGTATACAAGACGCGGAAGCGAAAAATCGTGTCGCAACTCGTGACGTCACACATGACCAGGCGAGAGTGAAAACGAGAAGTCGCTTTGATAATGGCTTATATAAGCCAAAAGCTTAAATTGGATTTAAACATGTATCAATCTGGTGATTTCCTTTCACCCTTCAATGATAATGTCATTAAACTTATCAGACAATATGAAAGGGACTCACTTAAAATAAATAAACAAAACTTGTCTATATTATTAATATATATATATATATATATATATATATATATATATATATATATATATATATATATATATATGGGGAGAGAGAAATATATAAGTAAAGTGATACAAAAATGTCTATCAAGCACCAGATAAAATGTAATTGTCGGAGAGTCTGCACACAAACCCACGAGCGAGCACACACATATATAAACACACAGATAGACAAACACACACATGTTTTACAACGATGTTTAGTTTGTACAA